CACCTCTCAAGTCATTTCACAGAGTCGAACTAGAGTCAAGCTCAACAGGGTCTTCTTTCCCCGCCGATTCTTCCAAGCCCGTTCCCTTGGCTGTGGTTTCGCAGGATGGTAGATAGGGACAGTGGGAATCTCGTTAATCCATTCATGCACGTCACTAATTAGATGACGAGGCATTTGGCTACCTAAAGAGAGTCATAGTTACTCCCGCCGCTTAGCCGCGCTTGGTTGAATCTCTTCAGTTTGACATTCAGAGCACTGGGCAGAAATCACATTGCGTCAACATCCGTTGGGACCATCGCAATGCTTTGTTTTAATTAAACAGTCGGATTCCCCTTGTCCGCACCAGTTCTGAGTCGGCAGTTTGATGCTTAGGGAGAGTCCCACGGCCCCACCCGAAAGGTGGGGACATAAGACATTCTACGCCCGTCGGCAAACTGGCACGCGGGCTCCGCCCTCACCGCGAGAGCAGCTTGAGCAGACCACGGGCAGCCAATGACATCGAGGCGCAGACCCCTAGGCCCAGCCATCAAAGCCAATCCTTTTCCCAAAGCCGACTTCCCTTACCTACATTCTTGCTTTGACGAGAGGCTGCTCACCTAGGAGACCTGATGCGGTTATGAGTASGGCCGGGCGTGAGAGGTACCCGCAGCTCCAGATTTACAAGGGCCGCCGGGGGCGTGCTGGACACCACAGGACGCGCGGTGCTTTGTCGGGTGCTGCACCCTACCTCCGGTTGATCCGATTCCAGGGTGGGCTAGCCGTCAAGAAGGAAAGAGAACCCTCCCCATGGCCCCCGCCGGCATCTCCGGAGCTGCTTACGTTACCGTCCACCTCCACAACCCGGTTCGGGAATATTAACCYGACCCCCTTTCGATGTGCGGCGCGCAGTGCGCCCTTGATACAAGGTTTCCACATCTCTTAGGGCCGACTGACCCATGTCCAAGCGCTGTTCACATGGAACCCTTCTCCACTTCGGTCTWCAAAGTTCTCATTTGAATATTTTCTACTACCACCAAGATCTGCACCGGGACCCGCTTCACCTAGGTTCAGGCTCCAGGCTTCGCAGCAGGCCCCGCTCCCTCCTACTCGTCGCGGCGTCAGAATCGCCGCGACGGCCGAGCATAGGTCGCGCGCTTCAGCGCCATCCATTTTCGGGGCTGATTGATTCGGCAGGTGAGTTGTTACACACTCCTTAGCGGATTTCGACTTCCATGACCACCGTCTTGCTGTCTGTATCAATCAACACCCTTTGTGGTGTCTGGGTTAGCGCGCAGTTTGGCACCGTAGCTCGACTTTCGGTTCATCCCGCATCGCCAGTTCTTCTTACCAAAAATGACCCACTTGGACCTTTCATTGTTCCTCGGGGTTCCCTTAAGCAACCCTGAAATCTTACCTATTTAAAGTTTGAGAATAGGTCAAGGGTGTTTCACCCCCAAGGCCTCTAATCATTCGCTTTACCCAATAAAACTGTTCAACAGCTCCAGCTATCCTGAGGGAAACTTCGGAGGGAACCAGCTACTAGATGGTTCGATTAGTCTTTTGCCCCTATACCCAAGTCCGACGAACGATTTGCACGTCAGTATCGCTGCGAGCCTCCACCAGAGTTTCCTCTGGCCTCGCCCTGCTCAGGCATAGTTCACCATCTTTTGGGTCCCAACAGGCATGCTCACACTCAAACCTCTCACAGCAGATCGTGGTTGGCGGACGGTGCACCAGCAGAGGGTTCCCGCCTCGTGGGCTAATCACCCATCGGCTCGCATGCACGTTGAACTCCTCGGTCCGCGTTTCAAGACGGGCAGGATAGAGGAATTTCGCCAGCATCCCGAACACGCAGGAACCCGAACGGGCCCGCCTAAAGAGGCGCGTGCTCAAGGTCCTCGACTGCCGTGACGGCCACCCGTTGGGGGTTTCAATCGCTCCCCACCGCAATGTCGGTCACAGCAGCCCATGCTGGCAGGCACCCCACGTCCAACAAGGGGGACGGCAACACAGTCGCCGTCCACCCCTGCCCAGACGGGAGCGCACGACTTCCCCTCCATCCGCTTCTCGCTCGGCAATTTCAAGCACTCTTTAACTCTCTTTTCAAAGTTCTTTTCATCCTTCCCTCGCGGTACTTCTTCGCTATCGGTCCCTCGCACATATTTAGCCTTGGATGGGACTTACCACCCAATTGGGGCTGCATTCCCAAGCAACCCGACTCTTGGACAACACCTCGTTGCGCAGCAGGGTCCGGCGGTCGACGGGGCTGTCACCCTCTTCGGCGTCCCCTTCCAGGGAACCTGCACACGGCCCGCTGCAGAGTTTGCCTCTCAAGACTACAATTCAGGGAGCAACACAGCCCCCGGATTTCCAGTCTGGGCTATTCCCGGTTCGCTCGCCGCTACCAAGGGAATCCTCGTTGGTTTCTCTTCCTCCGCTTAGTTATATACTTAAATTGGGCGGGTGGTCCCGCCCAACCTGAGATCAAAAGGCAAGGCCGGACGTACTTTCACAGCTCAAGGCCGACACCCCCAACCGCAAGCCCACCTGCAATCAGACTCGTTTTCAAACACACTTTTCATGCATGTAAACAGCAATGCAGCATACTGGCGACATGCGCCCACTCAAAACTGAGAGATATGGCTTTCGGATACGAGTTCACTCTCAATTGGCTATGGCGACTTCAGGGCCATAACATCTTCTGTTCACATACACTGGATCACCCTGGATATTCCACACGCATCACTCTGAACACTCGACACACACACACACACTCTCTACTAACTACAACTATGGCAGCTGTCGCTGCATCCACCTTATCGCTATGTTGACTTCCTCTCTCTAGCCCACTGCGTCCCCTGGGCTCATCTGCAGACCTCCTTGCACAAGTCGCTGTGGCAGCGCTTAGGAATGAATGAATGGCTGGGCGCTGCCTCTTGATTTATACTTCAGAAACTCGTTGGTCTGCCCTTTGCCATCGGCCCTTGGTGCTTACAGTCCCCCTATGGTACTTGCTGGACCGGACTGGGACTGGCTGGACCTTCCGTTGACTGACTGTGGACTCACCGCTATCCTACCGCCGTTGCACTGCTGTTGCACTGTGGTTTAGTCCACCACTTGCCTCACCACTTGACCACTTGCCCACTTGCCTACCTTCTAGAAGGTCTACAACTAAGCTTCGGGAACTCACTAAGATTCCTACACTATAGACCTACAGATCGAACCCCTGCTGTCTATGGACTTACGACAGGTCTACCAACTGCCTATGAATACACAGGTCACACGTTCAATTCTCGGGGTCTACACAGGTACTGTACATGGGTAGGGTGAGGTCTAGGGATCAAACCCTGGGTACTGCATCCGCTACTGCTAAAAGGTGAAAACCGTTTCACTCCCGCCGTCCTAAATTCGAGGTCCTGCGAGAAAATTTTAGTCCAAGGCAGGACCTTTACCTTTCTTGTCACGCTCATAGGCCCTGACTATGTCGGGAGCGGTCTCTAGAAGTTCTGCTTTTGTGAACTAGCGGTCGTCTTCCGGTTCCTGATAAGCAAATCGGACCTTATACTGTTTTTGGGGACGACCTCTACCTCCCGTCCTAAACACATCCTCTTCTACAATGCCCTCTATGTCATAGCTTCCATCCATATCCGGTGGAATCATGGATCTCCTAGAAGGGAACTGTTGACTAGTGATACACGGCAGCAGCTTTGAAGCATGAAACACAGGGTATGTGTGGAGGTGTGCTGGAATCTCAATGCTATAGGACGGTCCATCCTCTCCGCCCTTGACTTCTAGAACCGGCCACGGTCCTCTATATGCAGGCAGTAACTTCTGCGAGATGTTTTCTTCTGGTGCAAATTCTTTTGCCTTGACCCAGACTAAGTCGCCTACTTGAAACTGTGATGGGCGACGGTGTTTGTTAGCCTGCTCTATCATTCTGTGTTCGCCCTTCCGTAGGTTCTCAACAACAGTGGCTAATTCCTTTTCGTGCTGTATCGCAAACTCCCTGGTACCGGGCGGTAATCTGTGAATCGGATCCTGGTTCAGTCCTTCGAACGGTCTGCGTGGTCTAAAGGACTTGTGCAGTTCATTGGGAGTGCAGCAGGTGGATAGGTGCACGCTGTTGTTGTATGCACTAGCGACCTTGGGCAACATTTCATCCCAGTTGATCTGATTTGGTCTAATGTACATGCGCAGAACTTGTTGTAGGATCTTGTTCATTTGTTCTGTCTGACCGTTAGTCTCTGGGTGACGGCCGGACGACATTAACAACTTAGATCCATAGACTCTCATGAGTCCTTGCCATTTCAGGCTGGTGAAACGACTATCTCTATCACTAACTATTGACAATGCGATACCATTCTCACTAACCCAAAAGTCAAAGAACTTCTGTATTACTAAATCTGTACGTGCCTCTGCAGCCAAGGGAACAAAAACTGCATACTTACTAAAACGGTCGACTATGACCATGACTTGGCTCTTACCATGTCTACTCTTGACTTGCGTGTCCATGAAGT